TCTAATGTGTCCTCAGTATCATCTTCGAGCCCTGTCTTCATTGTTCTAGGAATAACTTCCCCTTCATGATGGTCATACTCTTCAGTGTCCATCGAGTCTGTCGTTGCGTAGTTTAGTTCATCGGGACTAAGGTGAACTACCTCTGTCTTGACAGGTAGACGGGTACATGGAATTGTCGGTAACCTGACCAACGTCAAAACAAAAATAACACCTTGTATATGCATAGTACTGTAGTCTCGGTCAAAATGAAAAGTCTGGTGAATGTACAGTTATATAGGTGCGTGAGGCTACTAGAACACAATCACTTTCTGTGTATTTCCTGCTGGGCTACTCAAAATTGGCGACCACAAGGACTCTGTTTCTTAACTTTCAAAGTGTGACGTTTTCCAAATAGTATTATTGCCATGACTTCCGCACTAAAGCCGGAATTGCGTAATAGCCAGCAGCTAAATACACTTACAGTACGACAGTAAGTAATATAATTTGGTATAATACAACACACTGTCCCCAAATTTTGTTTTAATATGCAGTACTCACGGATGTCCGCACTCGATGAGACAATCACCTGGTGACGTCACACGTTGTCGTCGTTGTTAATGTGCAGATGAACCAATGCCAACACTCTCCCGATTTATTACTTATATGTAGCATTCTGATCAATGGCAAACATCAGTAACATGTGTTCGCTGTTTTGATTATACAGAATGTTTCATACTCGGCATTCATGTAGTACAGGAGAAGGAAATAATTAAATCTCGATGTAATTGAAATTATAGTGACAAACTATTTCAAAAACACAACTATTCTTTTTTTTTGATGTAAAACTTCATATCAAACTAGTGGCAAACTGTCTTGTATGTATTGAACTATATCGCATTTTCAGAAGGTCACGTGATTTAAAATTCATTAATATACAAGGCAGTCATAATTTTTACTTACATAATTTATTACTAATAAATAATTTATGAATATTCATAATATTTATTCGCCATATAATTTAAATAATAGAGGGGAATCAATAAATAAATGGCTTAAGTCAATAAATACATTCAAGTGAATTATAAAAATATGTATGATAATAAATAAATAAATAAATAAATAAATAAACTCTCGGCGGCGATGTGAACTTTTCGTACAGCAACGTTATCTCTTCTTTCAGCATCACGTACAACAGCAAATCCAGTTATACTGTAAAATGTAGCATTATACATAGATTCATCCATGTCTGTAGGACATGAAGCCCTATGAATAATAATAACAGAATAGTTATCGTAGTTATTTTTGTCTGCTTTATCGCTGTAATATTTGTAAAAGTGTGCTTTGTTGTTTTTCTCTACTCACTGCAGAATTATATAACTTATCCCACTTCTTGTATGTAATGGACAGAATATTTTTTCCTGAAAAAAGATCTACCTAAATGTTCGTACTTGCAGTGAAAAAAATGTTGTTTTGCGAGGATACCCGGACATTCACGAACAGTGTCATACTGTAACATGTAAGTGTTCGTATATTGGTATGAACATCCTAAAAAAATAGATTTAGCTAGATTCAACTATATGAAAGCTATAGCTAAACTGAAACTCCACACATTAAGTGGGATTGCAAGTAATACAAAATATCAATTAACAAAATTGAATGTTAGATGGCTAGAATGGCACTTGCTAAAACATATGCTGATTGTACTTTGTCTGCTTGGCTTTTGACCTATACTTTGATCACGTAAGCTTCACATTTTATTTTCTTATTGCCAACTTTCGGCAAAATAAATTACAATACAAGGTATAATTTTTTTTTTACATTCGACCTTGCCAATCAGATTTCTAGATTCAGACTAACCTTATTCACTGAGGGGATTTGTAATTCACAATTAAGAAGCAATGAGTTCTAAGTGTACTTTTAAATATATAAGTTATTTAATTCAGCGGATTTCAGAATTTAAACCGAGCGAATTATAAAATGTTCGCAGTAATAAGGCTGTTCGCAGACAGATAGAACCACGGTCACATCGACCGGCTTTGCTACGCGTCCATCAAAACTCCCTTGTACCGTCTTCGCGCTTAATTTGTGGCATCCCCGCAGTAGCCTCATAGTAAGATTGAATATACCGGTGCGTTCAGATACATGTTCACCATCCCCTTCCAATATATAGATACGCTGTACAGAACCCTGAGGCTAGCAGTTGCTTACAACCTTTTGATTATCACGAACCTACATGAACCAATGCTTTAACTGCCAACGAAAAAAAAATCATATTTTCCAATTATATACTCGCAAATATAGCATTTGGTTTTATCTATATAAAAAACAGATCTCAATTATGCATATATATTTTTCTAATTTGGTGAATCTAATTTGTATGAAAAATATACTATGTTGTTCGTTGAAACTCTCACAGAACGGTGGGGAACAAAAGCAGTATTTGCTACGTTGGCCAATGTATACAATCGATCCGCTACTTGAAAACAAAATTGGTGCGCTTCTTGAAACAATCGGTCCGCTGCCGCTGAAAAGCGTCTCGTTACGCAAAGAGCGACGCGCTAACTGAAATCTGTCCATACTTAAAAAACAGCAAAAGTTATCCTTCGACCTGCAGATGTGACCTGGGATTAAAACCCGCATTGACGCTGCAGGTCAGCGTCCTTTGAATCACCCCAATGTTAGAATTATACGTCATAGCCTACCAGACATATACGTAGAATAAGACCGTAATCACATTACGCATTGAAACTGAAAGCAATTTAGACAAATATGTTCGCGTAATCACTGTTTAATGGCGTAACCCTGTTCTGAGGCGGTATGATTTGAATTACTGTAACACGCGGTTCATTGATCTCTGCTAAAGACAGATCTTGAGAAATTCTGGAGAAGTGTAATTCAATAACACCCGAATTTCTTATTAAAAAGGAAAGATAATTGATAAAATAAAATATAAAAAAATAAACGGACTATGGGTTATTTTGTTATTTTTTTATCCCGTCTAAATGACTATTTATTTCATAGATAATAATACTTGCGCAGGTGTCGAAAAGAGTGATCATCCGAAAAAAAAGTATCATATAATTTTGGCATAATGTATGGCATCATACAAGTTTTTGGTTATGAACTATTCTCAATATATTGTTCTATATAATGGTTAAATATCGTTTATTTTCTAGACTTTCATACAATTGATAGTTGTTTTCTGACTTCTTGATCCATTTAAAATGCGATTAAACGGATGAACGCGAAATATTTTTTCCTGTGGCCGTTTAAAATAAACAAACGGAAAACAGCCGACTATATGTACCACCGGCTGGCTGATGATACATGTTATCATGCGCTTTTAAAACTACGTAACATCATGTCGTAAAAGCATATGTATATTTACTAAAAACTGCTACACATACAATGAGAGTTGAAAAAAATAGAGAACTTAAAGTTGAGAGTACATACCTACGCGTAATCATAATAATCTATACGTGTTTTGCAATAACATGCACACTATAAACAACTTTATTTTAGCTAGATTGAATTTTTCCTGAAAGGACCTTTTGACTGGTTTGTATAGAATTTATTTTCACTGATTTATCATGAGTTGGATGTAAAATAATTCAGGGTATTTTCTTTTTCACTGAATCTTTCTTTCAGCGAAATTTCAGGTGAAATTATTGAACCTTAGAGTATACTGCGGAATACTTTATTTTCGCTGGTCCAGAATTAATTTTCGCTGAAAAAGCTTTTTGGGCATTTTGTATGGAATTTATTTTCACTGATTTCTGATGAGTTTAATGTGGAATATAGGAAAACAAGTATATTCGCTGGATTTTATTTTCACGGAATCATCCCTTCAGCGCAAATAGCGAAAATGAAGTATCCTACGGTATATTTTACGCTATTATTTTAGTTAACACTTGTTGTATAGGAGTTAAATAAATTCAAAGATGTAAAAATATCCATATTATTAGTTTTTGTAAGTTGAACCTCAGTACTTCAACAGTACCTTCAACCCCGGTTTGTTTCGAGTATATGATATTGTATGACAAAGTGTTTTCAGGTATCGACGCATATATTCGGGTTGGTTGTCGGAAGTATTGCAAGATTCTGTCATCGCTTTTGATTCCAAAATTACATGTTTAGTGTTTATGTATGCTTGAGTATAACAAAAAACGCCAATGGTTATTACACTGAAAACAAATAACAAAAGGGAATTTTCACAAAAGGCGCATACAATTACAAAATACTACAGTGTGTGACAAGATGGATAGGGGGTTGGAGCAATGTTTAGTTTAACAACCTGTTATATAGTCTTACAATATAAAAAATTACACCTCGACCAGCTACCACTCCTCTCGTCCGTTCAATAATACACCATCGTGAAATGCGTCAGATGATTGAATCCTGCATTTCTATTGAATATAACTGAAACCTGTGCGCAAACACCGCTACGAATCGTCAGAACTGGATGAGATGTCCTATTAGTCATCAGGTTACTGATATGGTAGAGCATCTTTTTGTAGCTCCATTGGTAGGGCTGTTTAGCCAAAACGCGAAAATCCAGACCCCATCATAAGGCAAAAAGTATATTCCATTTTACTTCAAACTGATGTTCAAGTAGCGGAAAATGTTCAAGTAGCGACCCGATTGTATATATGGATCATTTTCAGTACTTTTAAGCATTTCTACCTTCAAAGTTTTCAGTGAAACAACCAGTTTAGAATTGTCTCATTGACATATAATTGCAGCTGCTCAAATTAACAATGCACGTGCTCATCAAAAATTAACCCTAGCGCACGATTCTGACATAGTTGAAGTGAGCTATCATACATTGCGTTCGAGAGGAAAGCACAGAGAATGAAAATCTATACATAAACTCAACAATACCTGTTATTTAACATATTACCATCTTTAGTTAGAAGTTCTTCAATTTTTTTTGTATTATAGACAATATATCTTTTAAAGAAATGTAAGTTCCAGCATAACACAATATTTTTTTTTTATTTTTAGGGGTATGGATAATATCAATGGTATTGGCGAGCCCTCCATTAGCTGGCTGGTCTGTATACTCATATCTACCCGGACAGTCGTTCTGTTTCTGCTCCTGGAAGAGTAGTGAATCCTACACGTTCTTTATGGTGGGTGTTTGTTTCGGCGGACCCTGCTCTGTGATGGCTTTCTGCTATGTCCAGATAATGCGGGAAGTCCGTAGAAGTCGTCGGCGAATTTCAAGCGAAGATCCCAGCTCTGATGATGATATTCAGTTGAAAGTTTCGACAATAGCGGGCGCTGTATACTCCCATAAAATCTCGATTGCCCAAAGAAAGCGCCGTCAACGCAGGCATGAAGAAGATGTGAAGTTGACATTCTCCTTTCTCGTAGTTATAACGTTGTTTGTGATATCATGGATGCCATTTTGTGCCACAATGTTCTGGAGTATCTACTCCTCAACGCCAGTTCCAAGACCGATTGACATGGCAACACTTTTGCTAGGGTATTTTAACAGTTGTTGTAATCCAATTGTGTATGGACTAATGAACAAGCGCTATCGGTGGGGATATAAGCGCTTATTTAAGAACTGTTGAAGAAGTGGCAAGTAGCAAAATCAAAATGCCTTGAATTTGAACGTCTCTATGGCTATATCATTACAATAACTAACATTATTATACATCTGTCATCGTAACGCCATACGTTTACAGCTTTCCGTGATTTTGCAGTATTGCACTGGGTATTTTCATCCTACCGTATAAGAAAATGCGAATTCCAAATGGGAACGATTACGCGCGCAACCGTCCTCGAATAATAAAAACAAACATGGAAGAGTTTGACCGGACCCTATACAAACAAGTTGGCTCAATTTGCTTTAAACTTTTAGTATTTAGGCATTCCCATAATGTATCCCTGGGAGGAAAAGATGTATAATAATAAGGCTAATATGAGGGATACCAAAAAGGATGCACAGTACACGGTCGCATTAACCTCCTCTGCGCATCGGTCAATACTGACGCTTCGTGCATTTTTTTTGGTACCCTCGTAACAACATATAATCACTTGTTAATTACAAAAGCTTTTGCGGAAGAAAATTATCTTTTCGGTAGCATGTTACGTTTAAACGCAGAATAACTCATCGAACACGTAATTGTAAGCACGTATACGAGAATTAATTTGTGGAACACTCTATCATTTGCATTCACTGTAACAAAAATTTAAATTTGACACATTTTTGTTCCTAAAGATTTTTTTTTAATCCCAATTAAGTTATATTATAACACATTACATGTGTTAAGTGACTGTGTATGATGAAAACACTCACAGTCATTGTCTTTGAATGTTTTAGCATGTAAGACAATATGTAATGTCACAAACATGTATTGAAAAGTCTTTATTTATTACAACATTTCTGAAAGTGCTTTTATTGGACACACATTTTGTAAAATGTTTCCACCAAAAACATGTGCTTTCACAATCTATATACCATAAATATACCAGGGACTCAAAACGTGTTTCCACATGATACACGATTAACAAAATCATAATCAATTCACAAGCTTGTGACGCATTTCGCAATTAAGCACTTTGCAATACTGCACAGAAATCATAACAAACATTACATTTTTTACTGTAATATTTATATTGAATTATTTCTAAATATTGTTTCAAGTAATGATTCTTTCATTCCTAGTATTTTTGCAAAATTTATATTCTATATTCTTGATATGTTTTAGTTGAATTGAATGGTGAATGGTGAATGTTGTTGGGTGATTTTCAAATAAAATGCTATCATATCATACAATTAATTAATAAATCAATCACACAATCAAGAAAATAATTATGTACTAAATATAAACATTAATATGGTAAGTTTGTGTATAAAGTTTCAAAATAAAGGACATGTATAATTTTTGTAAAGAATAATTAGGATGACATGAATGTTGATTTTAAACTGGTTCATCAATGAATTTATTCGTGTTAAATAATTCATCGTACCAACCCGAACACACTAAAATGAAGAGAGAACGCTACGAATGAAAATTCAGTACACAGCTGCTGATCATGAAGTCGGGTCCATCAATTACAATTTCGACACATTTTATAAGAGGTTAACAATAGAACAAAACCTTCAATTTTATACGTGCACACAGTATTACTGCTGACATTGTTGACGTGTGTGGGCATTGTTTTTCTAATATGCAGTATACAGTGTTTTAGTTAATCTCAATAACTGTTCTACATAAACACTCATCAATCATATACAGTCGATAGTTTTAGGTTAAAATATTAATTGTGTGTTTTCTGGAATGCTTCAAAATAAAAGAATGTTGAGGAAAAGTGCTTTAGCTACTCCAGTGAGCACAAATGTGTCTTATACATTAACACTTTGTGAGACATTTATAGTTTGGTGTTTTGTGTTGAAACATCATTGGTGATCTTATTTTCCGAAGTGCTTCAAATACAAGTGATATGATTCGATCCACCGCCATTTTTTTCCAAAAGACGGAACATAGTAAAACATAAAACTATTTCCTGAATAAGGCGATGCCACGCGTTGAATTACGTAAACTTTTATGGTTGTCTAGTTACGTCGATGGCACATATAATATGCTATTAAATGTACTTCGTATAATCGTCGTAAATCAGTCATACTGAATTGTCTCTAGATTTTCATTGGAATTTATAATTACTAATGCATTTCTAGTTATTCACCTGTTGTATTGTCGATGTGACTGTTTTATTTTATGGCTGCACAAAATAACACATAAATGGATAAAGCAAGCGTCATTTTGTTGTTTTCTATTTGTCGAATCAATCACAGTAATAATTTCGCACAATGAAAAACGCCTGAGTAATGATAACTGTATACAGGAACGTCAATTACAATTTTGCGATGTCACCAACTAATGTAAACTATGAAATATAAGAAATGTCCACACAACTAGTCGAATTTAACTTCATAAGCTACTAATGATACAGTATCTAATTCAATCTGATTAAAATCCGATGTAGGTATATGAGTATCCAATTTTTTTTTAATATTATTTTTATTTATTTTTTTCATATATAACCCTTTATATTAAATTTATTTGTATTTTAGTTTGAATATGTCGATTTTTTTGTTTTTTCTTGCCGTTAATCAGTTTTTAGAAAATTGTGTCCCAGTCGCCTCTAACTACATCTGACTCAATGGCTATACAATTCTCGCCTTGGGACCAGCCAATCAGATCACGGTTTACAAACGCGTCTGAGCATGATTCAAAACATGGCGGCGCACTGCTGCTACGTTTGCGTGAGCTGGACCTCATACAACTTATTAACAACGCAGTTTTTTCGATGATGAACGTTGTCTAAAATAACAAGTAAGTAGCATTCATTAACTAGTTTGGCCTTGATTGTATTTCATTTCTGTTTGGTGGCAGATGATTTACATGTGCCAGTAATGTTGTTTTTTTGCCTCTGGATCGGCGTCGGTGATCCGGTATCAACTTCAAGTTGTTTTATCCCAATCACGATCTTTACTTGAAAATTCATTTTAGTCGATCGTTTCTAAGCTAAGGATTCATGAAAAATGGATGTTTTTTCTACTGCTCCCGGTTGACCGATTGGTCACCGTCAACACGCATGTTTACGATGGGGGGAAACAACGCTCGCTATCAATTCACCGTGTTCCATGTTTGTTTGTTTTCAGGAAGAACGTGACACCCCAGAAACAATTATTCTCCAGGGCAGATAAATGTGTTGTTTGTGGATTCAGTTTTAGAAACCAACTACTAGTATTCGCGCGTCGATAGTATATATTTATATAATTTACATAATATTTATGTTAATCACCTATATTGTATTTATTGATGTTCATTGCCAACAGCACTGATATCGTAGCTGAGACGCTGCTAGCTCAGTGTACTTTTTTTCGCCAACTGTTGTAATGCAAATTTCATACAATTTACGTTGTGAGATTAATGCAGCACATGGATTAATTTAACATGTTAATTAGTATATTCTTAGACATGATGCTGTACTATAATTTTTTTCCATACCAGTTCTGTTCTGTTTTTTTATAATTATTAATGACTTAGTTGTTCTTGTCTATGTCTGATCAGAATTGATTCCATCTATTTTTTTGTCAGTGTTTTTGATGCAAAATGTCATAGTTTATATCTTTGGTCACACAAAGAAAAGATCCACCAGGTATCTTTAGTATCCAGCAATTTGTTATTTAACTAAGATTGTCAACAGGCATTTTGGAATAGTTTTTCTACTTTGATAAACAGCACCATCACAATTAACTAATAGTAGGTAGCCACATATCCCTGTTGACTAGGCAACAACAAAAATTAAAATTCTAAAACTGTGATGAATAGCTGCCAAATACTTTTGTTATTTTTATAAGAGTATTTTCAGTACATTATTGATTGACAAACATATTTTCTTTGAGATAAATATTTATTGATATTTAAATAAACCTTGTTCTGTAAATTGTTTTCTTTAAACAGATGAACATTTTTTGCTTATGAAAGCAGTTGGAAAATAAATTAATGGCTTAATATACCAAGATGTCACTTATTTAGGTGATGTGGTTTATTGCTCTTCATGTCACTGATGTCTTCATTTGATGCAAAATCTTCAAATAAGTTAACCTTCCTACATACCGTTACATTTATTATATAATTTATTAATTTACATGTTAAAATAAGACTGCTGAGATGGTTCATCATCTCTACCAACTCAACCCCGACCCCTGTATTATAACTTTCAATATTGAAAGAGGGATCTAAATGGAGTACATTTTTGATAAAAATGCCCATACCAAAGGCTGTGTAGCAGAACATAATCTGAAACTTTAGTTACACATTTCAGCTATTTCTTTTGGATGCGATTCATGTACAATACTGTCAGTTTTCCTACAGTACCGGTACATTCGCATATAAAAAACTGACTGGGAATACTCCTTTTTGAAATAATCATATTTTAGCTAATGAAAAATAAAGTATCTTTCCCTTTATTTAGTTTGTCAACCATCCAATAAAATATGGATACACTGTCCCTAGGAGTCTGGAATAATGTAATGAGGCTGTCTTTCAACTGAGACTGTAGAGATGTGGTCAGTGCAAGAACTGTAACATCACGCAAAACAGCATAGTTCCCCCAACATGCTAGAAAAATTCCTTGAATGCACTTTGTTGCGTCTTGCACATGCTTTTTTGGCTGTCATCTGGTTTCTCACTCCTACAAAAAAGATCACAGAAATTATCATTTTTACAAGTTAGGACTCTATCTAATCATTTCCTGATTTTTAAGAAAAAAAATTCTCTAAAAAAACATGTACACTGAAATTTTGGTAGAATGAGCACTTTTATAATGAATTGCCCAAATATCTTAATGAACCAACACAGCTCTGTACATATGCAGTAGTGGCGGAATATTTTTCATATATATCCTACATTAAAAATATTCGCATGTTATCAGAAAATATGAAATGATGAGTGGCTAAGCCACTTTTAAACCGCATTCCATCGACCATTCAACATGAATTTCTACAATTTATAACACACATAATGCAAACTATGATTTTAATGTTGAGCGGAAATCT